ACACGACCCCAAGGGCGTAAGAGGACGGCAAGGTCCAAATTGGATGCAGCCCCGTTCTGAGCCCGCCGGGCGGCTGTAAAGGCAGCGGCGGCGGTGGAGGCGGTGGCATCAGGAGGGTCGAGGGAGACACCGAAGAAGAATAACCCGGCGACGCCGGCACCGGCGCCGAGTTTGTCGGCGCCGCTTCGGGCATCCCGGCGAAAGGCGACGACGGCGAGGGCGCCGGCAACGGCAAGACGCCGGCGGAGCCGGCGTGACAAGGAGACGGGGCTGTCGCCCCAGCGTTCCCCCCCGATGGCGTCGTCACACCGGCAGCGGCGGCAGTGGCGGGGGTGGCAGCGGCTGGGGAGGCGGACAGCGTAGCCGTCGCGCCTCCCATGGTGTAGGTCTTGCCGGAGCCCGTCTGGCCGTAGGCGAAGATGGTGCCGTTGAAGCCCTGGGAGACCCCGTGGGCCACGCGTTTCACGTCGCTGTACACCTGTGGTCGGGTCAAGATGGGACAGAGAGAAAACGGAGAGGGGGGGTATGGTCATATTTTGCAGTGCGGGGAGGGAGTTACAGAGGATTCATGATCCGGCGACAAGGCGTGGCGACTGACGGCGGAGAAACGCGAGACAGCAGTGACGACAGCTTCCCGTTGCGTACAGGCGGAAGCAACTTCTCTCGCCGTATTTTTCTCCTCTGGCCACACCTACACCGTCGGCGGCGCTACACGACCGAGTCAAGCAACAACCAGTCGTGACTTTCCATCTCACTTCATTTCGCAAGCAATGCGCTGGTAGTGGAGAGCCAGACACACGCCGACACGAACGCACACGAAATATTTTTGGAGAATGCGGATCTCCGAGAACTTCGGAGGTTACATGGATTGGATGCTATGAGTTTGATGTACTTGGCGCGCGAGGCTCTCTACTTGCCCAGGTGCCTCACTCTCTGTCACTTAAGTCACTCCTGTTGTGCAGAAACGCTCTCGACAAGAGCCCGCGAGCGTGATAACCAAGTACCCGCGCCGACATCTCAAATGGGAAATCCTTTTGCCGTGGATGGGTGTTGTTGGCTTTGGGCGCAGCTGGGTGGTCGTGTTGTGTGATGCTTTTTCGGCCCGGTCAATCGGCAACGGGCATATGTATGTAGCGGTTCCGAAAAGAGGCGGCCTCCGTCCGATTGGTCGGGATCTCTCGTTTCCGAAACCATATCCCGCCAACGCTTCCAACCTCAGCCTGCCTTTTCCAAAAGCAACTACATGGGTGTGGCCGCCTACACTCGTGGGTTTCTTGATTCACCTGGGCTTGATCGACGCCGGGCTTCAGAACCCTGTCGAAGCCCCTCCTGCTCCACGCGCCTCCCATGCGCACCGAGACGGTGTCCAGCGGCGCTCCCTCCCCGCCCTCGTGGCCTCCTCCGCCGCCGCCCCCATCCCCCCCCCCGCCCCCGAAGACCAACCACTTGCCGCGGGGCGATCCCCGTTCCTCCCCGTCCCTCTCCTCCGTGCGCCGAAATCTGCACAGCACCCGAACTCGGTCGTCTTGATTATTGGTGCTGCCGCTGCTGCCGCGGCTGTTGTTGTTGGTGCTGGCCACCTCCTCGTTGTCGTTGCTCTTCGCGTCGGCCTTGGGTGCGGCGGCGGCGGCGGCGGCGGGAGCGCTCGTCGGATCTCCCTCGTGGGGGGTGTCACCGGCGGCGGCGGCGGCGGCGGCGGCGGCGGTAGCAGTGCGCGGAGTTGTCGAGGGGCTCGGACCCGGCGGAGGAACAAGCGGCGGCTGCGGCAGGAGCGGCGACGGCGACGACACGTTGCTGCTGCCGCCGCAGCCGCTGCCGTTGCTGCTGCTTTCGGTCACCGCAACAGCAGTGGAGGCTACAACGTCTACCATTCTCACGCCGCCACCATTGGAAGACGACGACGACGACCCACCACTGGTCGTCGTGTCCGTTTCCGCCCTGCCGACACCGGTAGGTTGGGGGTTGGGGCAAGGGGTGTTGTGTGTGGGGTTGCCACCGGATCCAGCAGCAGGCGGGGCGCTTCCTGCGGCGTCGGCGCCAACAACATCTCCAGGGGTTCCCGACGACGGCGGTGTCGCTACAAGCTGCTGAGGAAACGCGTGCTTCGCCTGGCATTGTGCGTACGTGGGTGTCGGAGGCGGGCCGTGGCGCGAGGAGCCTTCATCCTCGCTGCTGCTGCTGCTGCTGCTATCGCTGCTGATGGTCGCAGCCCGTCTTCCCGCCGCTTCATTGGATTTGGCGGCAGCAGGGCTATTACTACTGGTCTGAAGATCCTCGGCGGTATGTGACGGCGCTCGCTCCTGCTGTAGCAGGTGAGGCTCTGAAGATGTTTGTCTCTCCATGCTCGTTCGGGGGAGAGCGTGTCGTGCGATGCATCACCAAGTTTAGGCCTCCAGTGGACATGTGCGGCCTTTTGCCGGGTGCCCCGCACATTCGAAATGTGGTTGTGTGCATACCCCGTTGTAAATTTGAATTTTGAACGCGTGAAATCGTTCGCCATCGTCTTGGCCTGCTATACAGGAGATTGTAGCGAGGGCGCCTGAGAGTGTTGGTTCACGTATTTCCAACTACCTCTCCTTATATATCAGTTATCGACACAGTGCCAGCACCACCACGACACTGACTACAGTACGATTGATTGTCAACGTGTCGATTATGAAACAAGTAGACTCTTTTTTGCGCGTAGGGTGCAACCTGGAATACGAACGTCCGAAACTTCACACTTGAACAAAACGTGATCGCAACCCATACTTAGATCAAATGAAATATTTGATCGCAATCCATTACACGCTTGGATCGAATGAAATCTGCTTTGTGATCGAAATCCAAATGGTGGTTGAATCTACAGCAGTAGTACATGTTCTCTAAAAGCGGGCACCATGCGAGGTACACGGAAACCGACCGCTGGCCTCGGATGAGATGCGCCGCGATTGTTCGCTGGATGCCGTTGGGACGTTCGATCGAGCCCCCCACACCTTTCGCCGAGCAACATCGTCACCGATGCGCGGCAGCTAGCTGCGGCAGCGGTTTTTTCTCCTCCTGGAAGGCGGGGCACCCTACAGCGACGATACGAAACACCAGCAGATACAACTAGCAGCGGAAATCGAATCTGATTCTGCACCCGCTACTGCTGCCGCTGCTGCCGATAGTCGCTGAGTTTCAATCGCACAACAAGCAATGTCTGGCAGCAAGCGACCGTTCTTCCACGATCAGTTTCAGCGCGTCTCGGGCGCTCGGCTCAAAAAAGTGCGTGGTTCAGGCCCTCGAACTGACGTGACCATTCATTCACATTTTTTTTTACCGTTCGGTGAGACCTCTAGAGACCGTCTCGGTCTCTTAGAGAGAAACGTGGATGATGTGCCCGATTTCTTGTTAGCCTTTCACCCGATTCATAACATCGTGGTTATGGAGGACTTCACAACGCCAACAGTTTACAGCAATGAAAAATCAGCAACCCGACATCTCTTGTGCAAGCACCTGGCCAAGTGCCCGACTCTCTCCCCTCTACATATACTACGAGCATCACCATTTATTTAGCATCACAAAATAGAGCCACAGCGTGCGTCAGAAGCACACCCCAACACCAGGATACAACTTATCCTCCGTCCTTCCCTGCCGAAGGATGGGATCGTCCGCCGACAAGCGAAGTACTTGAGCTCGAAATGGCAAGTTTTCTCGCACAACAAAGTCAGGGCCTGCCTTTAACAACAGCACTCGCATCTCTCGCCGTACTCGCAGGATTTTCAGGGTCTTGGTCAAAGCCATCTATTTATCCGCCTGCGCGCGAGACAGCACCAGCGGGCCCGCCTACTCTCCCGGCTTGAAAAATGGCCTGTAAACCTCGGGCAAAAACTCGCTCTCCCCGCCGTTTGCGACGGACACAACGTCGAAGCCCAGCGCCGCCACCCCCCGGATGCCTCCTTTCCCCATTTCCTCTAGGTCCAACAGATCTGCCGGCTCGGACACATCGCTCAGAAACACGCGCACCCGCCCCCCGTCGCGGGCTGCTGCAACCACCGACGACCCTCCGGGACCACTACCGGGGACGGCGACCTGATTTTGCGGTGACAGAGCGACAACAACAACAACAACAACAATGGTCCAACCGAAGAGTTTAAGTTTCGGCACACCACGCGCGACCAAGTTGCGTCGAAATGTTTGGAGATGTGCGTGTGTTTCTTCTGGAGTTAGGTTTGTGTGGTTGAACAAGCTGCATGCTGGATGCCGGATGGGTGGCAATGAAGAGCAAGCCATAGAGCCGGACGAAGTTCGAGGGATTCGTATGTCTCCTAGCGGTGGTGGTGGTTCGTCAGCGAAGAAAATTGCTGAGGCTGTGTTGATGTGTGGCGCCACGGAAGGCAAGAGGAAATTGACGTGCAAGATGGCGCGATAAATCAGTAGGAGTGGAATGGTGGCAGGTCGGAGGTAACGGGCACACCTTCGACTTCGCCAAGATACGATGTAGTCAGAGAAAATTCCGAAACATGCCGCCGAGTAAGGTAGCACAAGAGCTCCATGCACTGCCGCCGCTACGCTTCAAAGCGTTGTTATGCCAAAACTGACGTTCAGCGAACGGCTATTTTTGTGATATTTTGGGCGAAAGGGTTCGAGTGTCGGCGGAGACCTACTTTGTCAACTTTCTGAGAAGTTGTCGTAGAGATCAACCATGATACTTTGTGACGACGATATCCTCCATTCCTGTCAAATCGTGCGGAGGCGCTTGACGCGCCCGGCCAACGGCCTGCCCGTCCGTCTGCAGCACTGTCAGACTGCTGCTTCAGCTTTCGTACTCGCCTCTGCCACCAGAACGTGGAAGCCGCTTCCGATGTCCAGCTCTTCTGGTGGGTCCGCCAGAACGCTCACGATGTCTGCGAGCGGAATATTGCCCCCAAGCACGCGAACGAAAAGGCGCACCATCACAATCGTGCGAAGAAAGTGTAAGCGTTCAGTACAAGGCAACCCTGAACACAGCCGTTGTTTTAGATGGAGGTGAACCTACAGCAATAGGGCGGGGGAAAACAACACCACGACACAGTAAGGACGCGTCAAACAGCTGGTGGGTGTTCACGTCGCACCAGTGAACGCGTCCGTGACAGGCAGCTTCTCGGCGATAGCCCCCCACATGCTGTCCGTCTCGCTTCCTTCCACCCTCTCCTCGGCGTACGCCGAGAGGAACACGCTGCCCGCCGCCGCGCGCTCGACCGGCTCCCACGTGTGCGCGACGGGGACGCTGTTTAAGCCCCGATTTCGCCACTTCCGGCCTCCCTTGGACACGACTAGATCCACCATTGGCATCACGTACCTTTGTTGTTGTTTAGGGTAAGGGAAAACGGTCGAAGACGACGAGTGTCGGTGTGCGTGTTTTCCGTGGGGGGTGGGTGCACTCGACGGTTTCAGGTCGTGCGTGTCGGCATGGTGGCGCAGTGATGACATAGCGGTGTCGCAGGGCACCTCTTTCGGGACAAAATCAGCACAGAACGGGGCTGTCGACCAATCGGAGCGCTGGCTGATGTTGACAGATTGTTGGCAAGCAAGGTTGCTGGAAACTGCTGTTCACGAAGTTGTACAACCACAGGAAACATGTACGTGCCTACTCTGAGTCGTTCCCTTAGGGAAGGGAAGGCGTCACAGAAACAAAGATCGGTATCTTCACGAATGCGGAGAGAGCGTAAACCGAGCCATGACGAGGACATTTACAAAGAAACTCTGCGGTATCGTTTTAAAAGAAACTCCGCCGGAATCTTTTTCAAAACACCGTTGTTCGTAGACATGTGTACAAGGATTGGCATTGCTTTTCTCCCCGCCGAAACCCCACCTGGGAACACCGTCCTTCATCAGCATGCCCAGGCATAGCTTCATGGCGGGCGCAGGGCTGCCTTCTGGAACCCACAGCTCACTGTAGCTGCGAGAGTGAAGGCGGACGAGGGTGAGAGCATCGACGTGCGCGTTTTACGCAGGTACAGGGCTGAGGGTGAAAAAATCCTGTATTCAAGGCTGTTTGAACGGCTGGCGGAACACGAACGAACCGAGAAAGGCGAAGGCTTACCGGTGCACGCGTCCTCCTTGTCTACTGTAGTACCATATACATACCATCGGGTACGAGGACTTTTACGAGGGAAACCACACGACAAGCGCTAATAAACGAGCGCTGGTTCGAATATTACAGACGACCTTCACTGACCAAAAGTCAGGGGGGATGCAGGGGGTCGTCGTGTGAGCCTTGTTTCTTTGTCGACAATAAGGGGCTAGACTGTTGTGGCTGTTTGCTACCACTCCACCATGTATGCACACAGACACACACACACCTTCGTGGATTAACCCAGCCAAGCTCTGCGTTTGGTCCCGGAACTTGGGTAACGTGCTTTCTTCCGGCGTCGTCAACCTGCTCATCGCCGTCGATGAACCACAGAGGGAAGCTAGAGGCCGACGCCACTGGCAGCCTTTGCTCGGTCCCATCGGCCTAATACTCGCGGTACAGCAGTAGCAATCGCGCTCAACGAGAGATTGGTTCGAGTTGCTCTCACTACCTTCCACGAGCAGATTGCACTAGCACGCCGATGAGTCCATGTGGGGAGTGCAGCTAGAAATTTTTAGGCATGTATGTACACGTACGCGCAGCAGAAAGTCATGAAGTCGCCTCCAATGCGCTACAAAGTCTTGGTGACGGTTGCATCAACCTCGGCAACGGACATCGTCCCCAGCAAGTAGCAGCCAACCTACTGCTGTTTCTGTATTCCAGCCTACCCTGGCTACGCGTTGCCACCGACAGCCCTGTTGGGCTAAGACAAAGGCCTACCGACAAGATGGAGATGAACTGTCTCTCCGCAGGCCGCTCTCGCTCAATCGCAGGTTGACCCTTGGCCTGCCTGCGGGAACATGCGCGACACGTCCTTTCGGCGCCGCCGCTTCTTCTGCTGTGAACGACCTTGGGGCGCACAATGAAGCCATGAGCGGTTGATAACACCGTGAATGTGCCCAACAGCGCTACGGGCGCCCTCATTTTGTCGGGGATACACTGCAGTTGTGCACTTGCTGCTGGTGAGGCAGTTGGTTGTGTGGGGGATGTGCTGGGAGCTGGGAGGATGACATGATGATGGTCAGAGGGATGCGGCTGACGACGGGCGATGGGGGGCTGTGGAGCATCCTGCGGGGCCGCCGGCGTGTCGCCGCAACGTCAATGAGTTCCCTGCTCGCCGCACCAAACCCGCCACGCACACGCACCGATGAGATCATCCAGCTTGTCTTACGTGGTACGAGCACTCGCGATAACGCAGGCCCCTTCGTCCAGCTTCCTCCGGCCATTGGCGGTGCACAGGTATTGATGGCCACGGGACTGTCAGTTTGTGTTCCGCCGCATGTGTTGCCTGCCTACTGCCTACCTCAGTACGTCGCATGTCGCATGCCACAAGCAATATTTCGGCGTTGTCCCAATTCACATGCAAGATTGCCTTCAAACTTGAGAACAACACTTCTAGCCATGGCTTAGTGGCCTCTGATTCTCGGGGCGATCGATTCAGATGGGAAGAGAGAAGGAGAAAACATGTGCCCTGCTGCTACATGTACCAAAAAGTAGTCGGCGGTAGCGTTGTTACTATACGCAAGTTTGACAAGGTCGAGTTTGGAGGTTGTACTCATGTATTTGGAATATCTCTCTCGAATCCGCCTTTTCATTGGTCAAAATAGTGTGTGGAGGAGGATGCCCGTCCAACTATTTTTTTTTGCTGTAGTCGTGCATATCGACTGCCGTTTGTCATAACCCATTTCATCTACAGCAGCAGTGAGTGCTCCTATTCGGAGTCGCAGGCGAGACCAAAAAAATTGAACAACAACTCCGCGCTGCACCTCTTCGTTTTGTACGCTCCCTGAAGCGTAGACTACGCCAAGAGGCGCTCCTCACGTCTGGTGGTAGGAGGCACCAAACGCGGCAGAATCTCACTCTTCGCTGGCAGAAACTCGAACTCACGACCTGGTCCTCCCCAGCTGCACGCAGCAGCAAAAGTGTTATTTTTTGCAAACTTGGGAGGTACTTGTACCGCAGAGTCTAAGCTTTGTTGGTAAAAAATGAAAAGATAAAGTTTGGGCGTACAGTACATAGTACTCCGCTGCGCGAAGGGGGGCGCTATGAGACGCACAAGCATACCTCTTGATTTCCCGCGGGAAAAGTCATTCTGGAGACCCCGTTCAGCTTTCCTAGGAAGACGCGAACATCCCGAAGAACTTGCGATAACAACAGCAGTAGCAGACAACACAGGCTCGCTCAGCCGTGTTTCTTTTCGATATCGCCTACATGCCCAAACCGAACGTTGTGACGTTCAAGACAATCTGGACGGTCCCTCGTATGCATAGGTGGGCTCGTCAACGACAGAGCCGCAGACGCGACTACGCTGCTGAACGCTTCGCGAGGACACAGCCTACAGGGGGCTCCTAACGGCTATGCACGACACATCTTCTTTCGGCAATGCTCTCAACAAGTCGTGATGAAAACTACTCTGCACCCAACCCGCTGCGCTTGACAGCCCTTTGATGGACCCTCTCGCTTTGGTCATGCACACATACGTAGGTCTCAACTCTACTACAGCAGAGGCCTGGCAACGGCCACGTCATCCATGGCGTCTTCTCAGCCGCCCCCCTCCTCCTCTGGCATCAGCCTCCTCACAGCGGAAGATTCAGCGGCGCTCGATGCAGACCTCATGTCGACTCCTGGGTTCAGCATCGACCAGGTATCCCTCATCTCCGTAGCGCTAGCGCGTACATAGTCGGACGCGACACTTCTGGAAACACGCTAAGGTAGAAAAAAAATCTGCTGATTATTTCCTGCGGCAGAGAACAACCACTCTGTCTGGTGGGTCGCCCGGGCTACGACCCGTCAGATTTTTGTGGCGTTCATGGTTCGCGATGCGGCGGAAGACTTACCGCTCGGTGCTCGGCTTCAGCATTGCAGACAGAGGCCTTCGACGCGTCGTCAGAGATTCTTAAGCGCGCCGAGTTGCCGTGAGTTGTATAAGCCGGATGCGTGTAGCCTGGCGGCGAGTCTTCTTCTTCTGTGATCCTCCACCACGACGATTCGCCCTTGACGTCCGTTGTCCCCTCCCCGCCTCATCCCCTCCCCCTGCGTTCCCCCAACACGCGCGAGGAAGCTGATGGAGCTCGCGGGGCTCAGCGTCGCCTGCGCCATCGCCAAAGTTTACCCGCCGCCGTCCAGGGTTCTCATCGTTTGCGGCCCGGGGAACAACGGAGGTGAGTGGCGAACGAGCACCCGTGGCCGGTGAATCCATGCCTCGCCTCGGGCTACAACACCACCGCTGTGCTTTCCTCCGACCACCCTCGCGTCCCCACCCCACCCGACCCACCCACTCGGCTGGGGATGCGACTCGCCGGCTTTTTGCGCTCTCTCTTGCGGCGTGTGATGCCTTGTCTTGAGGTCGAAACATCAACTCGTGTTCGGGACCGGCGGCTTTTTGGGAGAGGGTCCGAGGAAGTACGAATATACAAAGAGGCACGACATTGAGCACACACACACAAACCCGTGCGACGCGCCAGCTATCTCCCAACCCCCTCGCCACCGCCCCCACCACCCCCCTTCTTTGAGCCTCTCCCATACGTGCACATTCCGACACGCCATTACGTATCCCCTCCCCCTGTTCTCTCCTTTTTTTCATGGGTGGCCGGTCCACGTCGCAGGCGACGGCCTAGTCGCCGCCAGGCACCTCTGGCAGTTCGGCTACCGGCCTACGTGCCTCTACCCCAAGCCCACGGCGCGCCAGCTATTCACCAACCTCGTCGAGCAATGCAAGCAGCTGGACATCGAGTTCCTACCGTCTTGGGAGGCGGCTGGAGACCTAGGTGTGTTTGCACGGCACGGGGGGGCGGGGGGGAGGCACTGAGAATCATGCAACCGGGAGGCACGAGGATGCCGGGTTCCACCGGAAGCGGGGTGAGGGGGGAGGGGTCTCTCTGTCTCGGGGTGATGTTGTAGCGCTGGTACCCTGGTACTGTTAGGTGGCCAGGCGTGTGTAATTCCTCTCTCCATTGCCCAGAACATAATTCAATCTCCTTTCGTGCCTGCTTCAGCGCGATAGCCGACGACTGACATACATGCACATATGCATGTCCTCAGGTAGCTACGACGTGGTCCTTGATGCCATGTTCGGCTTCGGCTTCAAGGGCGACCCGCGACCGCCATTCGATACCATCCTCAAGGACCTCTCGAAGAGCGGCGCAACTCCCGTCGTTTCGGTTGACGTGCCAAGCGGATGGTCGGTGAGCGCGAGTTCTTCGGCGTGAACGCTTCGCACAGAGGGAGAGATTGCACAACCGTCAAAGAGCGGTTACTACAATGTTATGTGCGTCAATAGTAGGTTGTCTCTCTGTCCGCGTGACACGATGCCGAGCTCCTCTCTATCATCTTTTCGGACGTCGGATTGTTTGACATACCGTACTAGTTGCACCCAACATTTCTTTGATTTCTCGAAGGAGGAATGATGCGGCGATTCCTCCCCTTCCTTGCCATCACTCAAGTCACTTTTTCGCCCTCCTTTTTCTTTCCAACAACAACTACTAACGACGCTGTTGTTGCTGCGACAGGTGGACGAGGGCGATTCGAAAGGCGGCGGCCTCAAGCCCGAAATGCTGATATCTCTCACGGCCCCAAAACTCAGCGCGAGGTGAGCGCAAGCTTTCGCTCGAAGTTGCCGACGAGATTCACATCCGCTCCTCTCGTGAATGCTGTGGATGAGTGGCTTCTCCGAGCCTGTGTTACCCCCCTTCCGTCTCAATGTATTTTGCTGTGCATCACTCCAGAAAACACAAAGAGTCGAAATTGACAGAACTCATGTATTTCGGAACATTAAGGTGCGGTTCTGGGTGCTACGGGGCAGGGAGCCTCTGTCAACACACACCGGGTATTCCGTAGCCAGCCCTTCCTCAATTTTCCCACGTATGCATAGGGTAAGTTTGCTATCTGTTGCAACGTTCAAAAAAAATCCTCCTCCAAGCCTTCTGCGTTTTCCTACAACCCCACTCTCAAGCCCTACAATATCCGACAACCATGAACAAACCGATGTTCGCATCTATCAAAACGTTATTCAGCGTCACAGTTCGTTTTTGTTTTTTTTCCTTTTCTTTGAAGGTTTTTCGAGGGCCCCCACCACTTCCTCGGCGGCAGGTTCGTCCCCCCAGGGATCGCGAGCAAGTATTCCCTCGAGCTTCCCGCTTACCCGGGTTCGGAGCAGTGTGTCCGGCTCGAGGAGTGGGGGCAACAGCGACGCACAAAACAACCACAGGAGCCGTGCGAAGGATAAAGGTGTAGTGGTTGGATAACGGACGTGACAGAGATGACCTGACAATTTTTCGTTCGAAAACGGTCGGTAACGGTACTGGGTAGCGCGGGGGGCTGCAGATCCTTGAAATGAGTCAATCTGGATTAAAGTTGTTGTCTTCTCCAAGTTGTCTTCACCCCATGTTCAGAAAATGTTCCGGTCTCTGCTCAGTTGCTGGAGATGAAAATTGATGACAGGGTGAGAGGGTAGCCGAACATGGATCCAATGTTGATGTTGCTACTGTTGTTGGGTGGCCAGACCTCAAGCACTACTGTAACTGTGAGACGTCGACGGGTGTGTTCTTCTAATCGTCCATCCATGTGCATGCTTGCGACAGGTGGCTGGTGTGGGCACACAACACCTCATGCGTGCGGAAAATAGATCTGGTTGGGAGCAGCGAGGTGTAGATGCTACTTCAAAGTAGTTGGTGAAGAAAAATATGGACTAGCGGTGATCGGAGGGGGGGCAGCGCTGGGGGCCACAGAGGACGGAGAGCAGCGGAAGTATATAGCCCCCTGGAGGGAGAGAATGCTCGACACACGAGCCGGGAGAACAGCGCTGACTGTTTTTGTTGTACAAAGCGTTTATGTTGGTTTTCAATAGATATAAAGAAGCTTGTAGAAGGATGAATGCAGTCACACGGACAGGGATTGATTGTTGTCTCACAACATGCCCACACAGGGTTGAAAGCGGTAACAACCTCATGTGTACGCCAAAATTCGCACTTAACGGTCGACGGGGGAAAGAAACGGCTGTGAACCTTCCTTCTCGCGAAAAAAATACGGCAAGCGTCGCAGAAGGTAGGCGGAGAAAAAACTCCTGCAAGGCCTTTCTCCTGTGTGACCCCGACTGGTGCGCCCAGAAATTGTACCGAAGGGTATGAAGAACCAACGTCTACCACAATGAGACCACAAAAAAAAAAAAACAGACGGAAGTAGCTGTGTGCTTCCTCGCCCTTAATCAACGGCCTCAAGATTCCAGTGCAACATGAAACACGGCAGATTGCCGCCTGCGGCTCTCTTCGTACATATTCGTCAATGTCACCCACACCACTGGACAAAATCGGCCCGCATTTCAGGCCTTGAGCGGTGCAAACAATTCTCGACCGCGCGCAAACCACCTAGACAAGCCAATACCACCACGTTAGAGAGAAGAGCCGGGGGGGGGGGGGCAACACGGAGCAAGCATTACCCGTCCTGTCCGCTGGCCTGCCCTGCCTGCGGGTGAGCAAAAGCCCACGAATCCGGACAGCTGCCAAATCAAGACACCTATAGAGTCGGACAAAACCAGTAACATCCGACAGCAGTGCCTCACTCTTACGGGGAGGTTCGAGTGCTCTCGGCCTATCCTCGCACTCAAAAAGATACCTCCGTTACCGCTGCAATCTAAGTACGCGTGCCACGCGGAATCACGGCTGGAGCCCATCAGCGGCCACCGATGAACATCTGACGGCGGTGTCAACCTTGTCATGGCGATAGAGCTCCGATCAGGCGACCTCCGCCAGGCGCCTTGGCATAACAACGCCAACGTAGGAAGCGGTTGCAGAAGGAGAACACTCACACACATTCCCCAAACAAAATCTTCACCCTTCCCGGAGCCGAGGATTAAGAAAGAGAGAGCGGTCAGAACACACACGCTACTACTGCCCGCTTTCTCGACATACGAGGCAAAAACTCCGTACAGACGGAGATGACACAAACGCTACTACTGCAGGTTTTCTCATCTTCACAGAGGCTGAAAATCCCTGAACAGGTAGATGAAGGACAAGGTTGCCACCCGCGCAACACACCAAAAACATCTGACCCTTTCCGACGCTCTTTGAGCAACCATACAACATTAGTTTTGTGAGAGGCGCGGCAGCCTGTCAGCTGGGTCAAGAGAGAGGACACGAGAAAATCGCGGGAAACGCAACCAATCGACAGAAACCCCACTGTGACTGGAGCCGAAGCGTGCATCAACAGAGTCGCTGTTGGTGTTGTTTTCTTCGCACATAAAAACCGTTCCGGTCTTTGCGAAGTACGTATACCTCGTGACACCTGTACCGGTCCAACTGGCGCGGAGGCCTCTCGTGGTCGCAGGTCAACTAGATACTGCACAAGCAGAATATCTTTTTTTTTTCTTCAAACCCATGGAAAAACACACGCCGTCCTTGGAGGTGAACAACTCCTCGAGGAAGGCGCGGTCGCGAGGAAAGCTCGGAGGAGTAACTGTAACCCTTACCGCATGTTCTCGGTTCGATTCCCCTCATCGTGCAGCGCAGAGACACAGGGTCGACCCACCCACCCATCCACCCGCGAAAGCTATGGGCCAAAACGTCATTCATGGCTTTGTTTCAGAAAGTGGGACAACATGTCGGCACAGACCCACGACCAACGCCTTGTTGCCTCACCAAGAACAAACCGAAACGAAACATTGCAAGTCGAACAATCCAACGAGAGGCAGCAACCCATCCACGCAAGCAACACAAGACGCTCAACACACAAAGAGCCACGCGTTCATAACACACCGGCGAACAGCAGCATGTCCACCAAGCTTTCCCGACACCCTTTGTCACAAGAGTCGTTGGTTGTTTAGGCGGAGAGCTTGTCCAATCTCGCCTGCTCCTGGGCAGCGAGCTTGTCCTCCAGCTTCTGCAGGAGGTCCGCACGGTACTCATCGAACTCGCCTGGCCAATCACGTTGTAGGTCGAGCCATTTGAAGTCAAACATCATGATACTAAATAGTTTCAGTTTGGTTCCTAAAGCAAAGATGCACTGCTGCTGTTTGTTACTGTTGAGCATGCCCCCGTGAGGCGTCGTCTTCGCACCGTTCCGTGTACCGTACCGCGGCCGTACCTTGCCACGGGGTGACCTCTTGCTCGTCGACAATCCACAGCCGGCACTCCGTAGCCTCGATAAGCCGCGCGTCGTGAGTCACCACCACCACACCGCCATTGAACTGGTCCATAGGGAACCACGCGCACGTGACAACACGGCAGAGATAAATAACGTCAAAAATGGCTTGAAAGCAACGTAACATGCACACGGAAAAAAACGATGAACCTCTCACAAACAAATTACCCCCCTCCGTGGGTGGACACCTTCGGAAACACCCCGTGGTGGGAACGGACACGGGGTAAGGAACGGCGACAGCGGTGGTTCACGACGTGGGGCTGGAGGAAGCGAAGGACCAAGCCAATGCCTTGTTTCGGGGGCGCAAAGGTTCTGTGTAGCATCGATACTTTTCCACCACTGCCGATCGCTGTTTGTTTCACTATCCTTCCTGATGCGATAGCGCGACAACGCACTACACAGCGGGGGCGCAGACGACACTACAGTAGCAACGTTAGCACGATCAATGCCTCCCGCTTGGGGCCAACTTCGAGGAACAAACGATGAGAAATCGGCGAGCGGTTCTGTGGGAACAACGCTCCGTCCTCTCGAGCACGCATGACCAATGGCCCAACACCCAACGCTTGCAAAACACACGACTAACCCCCCCCGGTCCCCGCACCCCCGGCCCCCGACGCTGAACGACACCGCGAAACGTAACACCCCACCTCCGTAACGGCCGTGCAGAGAGCGTCGATGGATTCAATGTCCAAGTTGTTCGTCGGCTCGTCGAGGAACAGCACCTGGAGACGAAGAAGGGAGACGACAGTGTTTGCGTAGAGTGAAGAGTGGGGGGGGGGGGGGGGATCAACGTGACATCAATAAAACTACGACTGCGACAACAAGAGACAGCGTCGACAAAAAAAAACGAGAACAACGACGACGACGAACTGTGTCACATGCACAAGACCGGCGCACAGCAAAAATGCACGTGGGTACCACCCGGCGCCTACGCCTACGCGCTCTCGAGTAACGGTGCGGCGCCCCTCAATCCACGCTCTCCCTCACGTGCGGCGCCTGCAGGGACAGCTCGCAGAAGACGACGCGGGCCTTCTGCCCCCCCGACAGGTCGCGCATCTTGATGGTGTGAGCGTGTCCCTCGAGGCCGAACCTTCCAAGAAGGTTCCTCGCCTGCTGGTAGTCGCACTGGTCCGAGAACTGCAAGCAAGACAAGGCAACGAGGGGAGGCGTACTCATGTAAAAGCATGCCGTAGTCGTCACGGCCATTGACCTCTCATCCCTATATCGGAGGGGGGTAGGAGGAGAAGACGGGCAGAGCACCGCGTTCTACAACAACCCGCCTGTCTAAAACGGCGACCGGACCGATGACAGCTCCTCAGCGAAGCTCTCTCTCTCTTTTCTCGTCCGTTTTTGGCGGTGACATGTCGTTTACTTGTTTTCTCTAGCGGTCTCCGTTTCCAGCGAATACATATGCCGCAAGACTGACGTCTGTCTGTCTCTTTCGTGGGGTAAGCCGCTTAGCGCGACCGACCCTATAAAATCAAAGGAACACACCCACACTAGCGGCACAACACCACGGGACATGGCCAAGACAAGCAGAGGGCAATCAAACCGCACACCATCGACCCGTGCCACCACACCACACCACCTGCACCGAACCCAACCCATCGTTCCCACACCTTGGATCGGAGGTAGCTGGTGGGGTCGATGTCCATCGGGAGTCGGTCGACGAAGTGCTGGTTGTAGATTCCCGCGCGCATGCGGGGGTTTCTTCGGATGAAGCCTTCCGTGGGCTCCAGCGCTCCCGTCAGCAGCTTCAGCAGGGTCGTCTTGCCTGGTTGGGGGGGCGGGGGGGTCCGTGTGCTTATGATGCCAGAGGCAGGTCAAGGATTGATGTAAGCCAATTTAACGCGGACCCGGGGGGGGGTCAGGTGCTTTGTCGCTTTTCATGTGTCGTGCTGTCCAATAATTGCGGTCGTTTTTGGAAGCAAAACAAACGCAGCAGCAACAACAGCATCAACGATATCATCAACAAACACATCAGATGATTGCCGCCGCACCTGCACCATTGGGGCCGACAATGCACACCCGCGACGTCTGGTCCAAGCCGAAGTTGACGTCCTTCAAGATAGTCGGTCCGGTGGGGTACTTAAAGTCCACGTCCATCACCTCCAGGACGGGGGGGCTCAGCGTCGATACCTGCATGCACGTGTCGCGAGACAAAACGGATGGCCTCAGAAAAGGAACAACCTGACACCCGTCCGCGTCCATGTCCCACGAAATGATGGAGGCCGGCCCGTCAAGCACCAGGAAAGGACCGGCCACCACTCGCACACACTGCCACCAACGACAACAACACCTACCGAAAAAACAAAACAGAAAACGACAACAACACCCGCAAAAAAAAACAAAATAAAAAACGACCGCGATACATATCTACCACAAAAAAAAAAAAAATTGACACCGACGCCTCCGTAAGAGGCGGAGAGATGGCACCTCCCCCCCCGTAGAGCGACTATAAAAGCTCGATTGCTCCACAGCCAAACAATGTGCCAACATCAACAATGTTCGTTTTGGAACCACCTCGTCGAGGGCTTTCCGTCGATGCCGTACCGGTCTATTTCCGCCCCCCCCTTGGTGATGGAGCAATCGAGTTTTGAAAGTCGGCCTGGGGGGGGGGGGGGGAAATCCCCCCGTTTCCGTACCCCCCAAAAAAAAAATAACACCACAACCACACCCACTCCTACCCCAAAAACAAAATAACAAAAAACGATAACAACGCCCACCACAAAAAAAAAAAAACGACCGCGACAACGACATC